CAGTGAACCGTAGTTCATTTATCTTAGCAGCTACTTTAGTAAGAACAACTTTCATTTGGCTTCCACAACATCAAAATAAGCTCTAGTCAAAGCTTCAGTAAAGAAGCAAGAACTCCAATCTTAGACCTGTGTTAGTGCAATTAAGAAGACACAATTAGGCAGAATAAGACACACATGTAAAAGCAGAAAGCATGTACTTCTGCATGTTACCCACTACCTGCAAGCAATAAGCTTCCCCATCTCCTCCAGGCCTCCTGGAATGAATAATGGCCCTGCATACACAAAATTCATGGCCAGGGAGGGGAGGGTGAAGCTGGTGTGCTTGTGTTTACAGTATCAAGCCCTGAGTGATCTTTAAGAAGATCTCTCACGGAAAGCCTCTCCTGGAAACTTGTGTCTTGCTTGTCCTTACACATGCTCTAACCACACCATCTCTACTCTGACACGTTGAAACAAAAACCTTAATATGAAACAGAAGCTGAAACACACCACAAGAAGACAGAAGAGGCCTGGGATCTCCAGCTGAGATGCCAGAACAGCCACGGCAGAAGGAATGATCAGCAAAGCATCTAGGTGAAGGAGCTGACCAAATGTGTCAGATCAGCACATTTAGGGCCAACAGGTACCTGAGAACTTGGGTGCAAAATACAACAGCCAGTCCAAGGAAGTGGTGGAGTCACTGTCCCTGGAGGTTTTCAAGAAAAGAGTGGTATGTGGCACTGAGGGACACGGGTTAGTGGGCATGGTGGGGACAGGTCAACAGTTGGACTTGGTAATCTTAGAGGTCTGCTCCAACTTTAACAACTCCTACAATTCTATGTCTACCAAGCCACACCAACGCACCTTTTGAGAGCACATCAGTTCATAAAGTAAAAACTGAGGCCCATGAGATCCCATGGGTTGGTTGCAGTGTTAGAGAGAACCTACTAGTCCACAAAGACCAAAGGTGAGGGTGAGAAGGGAGCAGCCATCACCCAGAGCCAGGCTGTGCTGCAGGAATGGTCCTTGGCTGAGCCCCGCAGGGAGCAAGAGGTTTAGCTGCTCTGCTGGCCCTGCCATGAACAGGAAATTAAAGTGGTATTAACGAATCCTCTTGAGTTCTTAGAGGAAGGAAAGATCCTTTATGAAAGTCTTTATATAGGTAGCTTCAGGATTCAAAAGCATCTCCTCAAAATAGAAACCCTGAGTTGATACTCTTGTAAATATAATATACAAGTAGAAGAGCCACTTCAGCATTCAAACCCACTTCTAACGCAGAAGGATTTCAATACTTTCATTCCCCCACCTCCCCCCCAGAGGGACCTTCAACCTTACAGACTGCTGCGGCTGCGACTGAGAAATACCCACTCTGCTGCATTTGAAGTTTATAAACTGCTAAAGAAACAAGCTCCAGGCCACACAAAATTCATTTTGTTACCATTTCTAGCAGGCATCATTCCACCTTCCTCAAGTCTGAACACTCCATTTCATTTCCACTGAGCTGGCTTAGGTATGAGATACTCAGCCATAGGAGTGGCAAGGCCAACACTTGATAAATAAATACTGAGCTGCTTTGTAAACTTCTCTAAAAAACCCCACAAATTTATGAATACTCACTACGAACCACGCTTGCACACTTCTGCATATACATTAACAAGTGTTTTGTCTTTAAAATTAGTGGAATTTCTGCTTTTCCTCATTGCAATAGTTACGATGAGCAAGCAGATTCAGCACAGAACTGCAAACTACCAACCACCACTAGCAGATCAAAAAGCCATACTGCTTACATAAGCCATCTCTTTTCCTTAAAATGCAAATCAGAGGCTACCAAAATTACGTTAATACTTTATTTAAAAATGAAAGAATTAAATGACTTAATGCCTGTTAATCAGTCTGTGCTCAGCATTTAAACCTTGACAGGGCAAGAGCATTCAGGTCAAGTCAAAAAAGCAGCACATAGGAGTGACAGATGGCACAAAGAAGCTTCCTACAGCCATATCTAATGACAAAGGAGTGCCACCGCTGCAGCGACAGCACAGCTCCTTGCAGGGACAGAGCCATTAAACATTACTGCAGATTCATTAAGAAGCAGACAGATGTAGCACAGTAATGGTGCAGGAGGCCAGAAATAAGTTACTTTAAAGGTTCTATTTATCAATTTGTCCTGGTTTTGGTGGAGTTTAAAGTCAGAAAGAAGAAACACGAGTTGAATCTTCAAAGCTGCCCATAAAACAGTCTGCACCAGCACTACATAAGCACACAAGATATACCTGATACTTTAATATGCTCTTATAGGAGTTTGAAGTTGCTATCTAGTCACATTCTTAACTTTTGAGCAATCAGAAGTATACACAGAGGAAAGATTCTGAAGCTGCAGGAAGCAATCATATCTCACAATGCCCTCACTTTAAAAACAGTCATCCACACCCTTGGCTTGCCTTACCTATAAACTGAGGTGCAACTTCAGCAGGAATCCTCACAGCAGAATTATCTCAGTCTGCTTTCTGCAAGTAATCATGTTAGTCGACTTAGCATGGCCTTTTGTTGCATTTAGCTTTTGTTTAAATGGTCATCACAAGCATCAGCATCTAGTGCAATGCCACAGCAGCTCTTTAGAACATCTTAAATTGATGACACCACTTCTGCCCTTCAGTATAAATCCTACACACTGTACTGGCTCACTGTCAGAACTCTGCAGGGTAAAAACATAATATACTACACAGTGTTACTCAACTGCAGATCCTTTCAGAACCTCACTGACACATGGGCTACAAAGATACCATCCTGCTCTGCAGACAAGAGTATAAAATGTTATGTAGAAGACTACAATAACATGCAGTTAGTTCTTTTACTTGCATGAATATCTGAAATTAGCCAAAGCTGCACAGCAGAGGAAAAAATATATATATATATATTAGCTTTTAAATGCTTATCTAAAAGGTTTTTTACTGCCTTAAAGGAGCAAGAAAGAACACTACAAACCTAGTCAAATAAATAAGGTCGGTGTGATGAACAGCAAAGCTAGGCAACAAGGGGAGGCAGCCTATTTTAAGCAGGTCTTCATTAGCAAAGCTTCACAACACTCACAAGTACTAATTATTCCTTCTTAAAAATCTCAGTTATTGGAGATAATAGGAAAATCCCCAATCTTCAAAGACTATTCTTAGTCATGTTAAAAAGAAAAATCTATCATATTTTACTCTGTATTTTAAATGTCTACTGTCACCTTAATATGATTTTTGTTTTCAAGAAGCGCTTGTACAACAGTCTGTTGTGCTGTCTGACCTAAACCAGAGCTTCAAGGGAACAATTTTCAACTTCAGGTATAAGGAAAGATGAGTTTGTTCAGGAAGCAGGTAAACTCTTGCCTTATACACCAAGCTATTCAAATTTGTACTGAAATACCACCCATGGGCTCATTTAATAAGCAAAACCTCATTCTTTTTGGCATCATGTAATAAAGGGGGGGAAAAAAAATGACATGCCTTAGTCACTTTATACAGACTGAATTTAACTGTAGATTTTTGGGGAGAGATGGAAACAGCATTCACAGTACATTATAGTCACTGTAATTCTAGAAGAGAAGTTAAATTCTTGTATGGTGAGGGGTTTTGTTTTGTTCTGAGCATCAGCATTAGTGTATTTCATAAATAATGTCATTAAATAAAATTCCATATAATCAAAGATTTAACCAACCTGTTCAGACTCACTGAAAAGCAGGGAGAGTTTGCTAGGTAAACCGTCTCTTCATCATGACAAAAATTGAAGAGCAAACAGAAGAAGGAAGACAAGCAAAAGAAATAAGGGGCTCAGGCAGTATTGTTGTATTTGCTGTTAGCTTTGGACAAGAAAGCACCTCGCCCTGCAGAAAGCCAGTCAGTACACTGACTACTCCAGTGCCATCAGCTCTAAGTTTTTCCCAAGGTGTGTCCTGAGGATAGCTGAGTATCACATGCCCATCAAACTGGTGAGACTGAACACTGAGCACAGGCCTTACATGCACGTGGTTCTCAAGCATCCCCAACTTAAACTACGCTCTGTGCAAAGAAACAAATATAAACAGCTCAAGTCACAGCATCTTGCATACACTTCAGTATTTCCATAAAGGCAGACAGGAAAAATTCTCTCTAAAGTACACCAAATCACAGAGAAAGTCTGACTTTGAAACAGCAGGAGTTCCAAGGAGGCAGGGGGGAGGGGGAAGGCAGGGAACAGATGGTAGTTCAGGGGAATAAAGTGTGGCAACATAAAACCATTCATTTGCTTAAGTGTACAGGCAAGTGAAGATCCTGGATTTATCTCTGATCCATATATGGTATACAAGGCCTTAGAAAAATGTTTCATTTCCAGTAAAGTCAGAAGGAATAACAGGAGCATAGCCCTTTTTAGCACTGTCACATTGCCTCCAAGTTTAGAATTTTTTAAAAAGAGTCTTAAGGAGACAAAGTTGATGTTAAGCAGCCATGGGAGTCCAACAATAAGCAGGAATCGGGGTGCTAGGATTACCTGGGAAGGGAAGCAGAATGCCCTGCAGCCAAAGCACTCCACACTGGAAGCACTGGTTTGACTGCTAGCCACAGGGAAATGCTCAAGTCTTCTAAGTTGGGTGCTCTCCAAAAATACAAAGGAAAGGATACCAGGAAAAAAGTTCCCTTGATTTTTCTTAAGCATTTATTCCCAGAAAAAAAAAAAGTGGTATTCCTGTTCATCATCCCCATTCAAATTTAATACGAAGTGAAACAACCATTTTGAACTGGTTAAGGGAAGTATGAGACCTGACCAGCATCCTCTTATTAAAGGAGGATAGATGGGAAAAGTCTGCAACCGCAAGTATGGGGGAAAAAAAAATAACCATAGAATCAAAGAATGGCCTGGGTTAAAAAGGACCACAATGATCATCCAGTTCCAACCCCCTGCTATGTGCAGGGTCACCAACCACCAGACCAGGCTGCCCAGATCCACATCCAGCCTGGCCTTGAATGCCTCCAGGGATGGGGCATCCACAGCCTCCTTGGGCAACCTGTTCCAGTGCCTCACCACCCTCTGTGGAAAAACTTCCTCTTAAAAATAATTGAAAGTAATTAGATAAAATTTATCATTAATACAGGGAAACAGATACTTAAATATTACCAATATTAGTATAAAATAAACAAATTTCAATATAGAAAACTCTTGCTGGAATGCTCCTCATCAACAAGAAAGCGCTATTGCTCCCCAAAATCCTCAAAGAAAACAGTGTCAGCATACTTTATCAAGCACCAAAGAACCTAACCACCTGGCCATCAGGCTTACAGCAATATAGGATAGGAATCAGATGAGAAGAACAGCCAGAACTCCCCAGTTTGATAGTAATTTCTGTAAAATCTGATATTCAGTCTTTCCAATCTTTCCGCAGCCCCACCTAAAAGGGGGGAAACAAGTATAGTTTACTTTGTATTAAAAAACCTTTCCAACAAAAAACCCCAAAATATTTGCAAAATTCAACTACCTAGACAGTTAATTTTAATCAGAGTAACATCTCAAAAATATGCAGAAGCTGCATAAAATTCCAACATATTTTTAACAGTATTAAAGCAACAGAACAGAAAGTACCACACCATCCATATGCCTCTGTAGTCACAAACTCTTATAACGTTAGAATAAATAAAACCATTTCTCCCCATAAAGGTGATACCTGTCTGTATAAGACAGATTTCTTCATTTACTGTTCTGTGACAGAAGCCCCAAACCCACATATTTTCCTGGCATCCACTCAATACATAGAAAAAGCAAAAACATCCATTTCTGCTGGTGAGAAGAGGCAAACCAACCACTTGTGAGAGTAGACCACAGGAATGAAATAACAGGAGAGTTTGTTAGAACAGTAATGTCATACTCTTCAAAAAAAAAAAAGTGCTGGGAGGGATCAAGGAAATCTCACTGTCATTAAAAAAAGAAAAACAAACCAAACCTATTAAGGCCTTCAAAGCCATGTTTCCAAGAGTTGGTTTGTAATTACTTGCATGCCATTTTGACAATGCAATTTCTTAAGCAGCAAAGCCTGACAGTTCCTGAACCAACCCATCAACTCACCTCACACTGTTGATATCAACCTGTATCATTTATGGGCCTTGGCCTAGGAGCTGTGCTGCTTCCAGTTCTTCAGAAAGTCCATGTAACAAACAAACCTGGGACAGTTCAGCTGTTTGTTAGCACCGTTGTTCAGATAATGCCTTTTCCAATTTTCAATGAAAAACACTTTTCTCAGCTAACCCTCAAATCACATTCGTTCTTTCAGGGATCATCAACAAGCAAACCAAGGTATCTGCTTTTCTCAATAGGCAAAAAAGAAGCTGGTTAAAAAAAAAAAAAAAAACACATTTTCATCATTTCTACTTGACCAAATCCCAGTGCTCTGCAGACAGGGCTGGAGAGATGAAAGTGAGAATCTAATCCAGTTCACAGTACGCTACTGCTGACAGAGCCGGTCTGCTGGTGGCTTTGTTATCCATCTCCCTCACTGCAAAGCAAGGAAAAACACCCCAGAATCCACGCTGTTTATTCTGATTTCGTTTATGGAAGGAATAATGCTTTTGGTCCTTCCTTTGAAAAAGATACCTTGAATTGGCAACTCATTACACACACACACACACGTTTAGCTCTGGCAGTATTAGCAAGTTTTTTCCTGAAATTTCTCAATCTTTACAGAAGGTTCCACTGCTTTCAAAGCATCCCATAACAGAGTTGCAGCACAGAGTCACAAAGGGTGGAGATGGGAGGCGGGAAGAAGAAAGCAAATCTTTCATGTTAAACACGATAGCTTTTCTGAAACAGAAAAAAAAATGAGATGTCAACAGCCAGGATTTTATTCACTGGATATAAAACAGTGAGGAGCTGGCATCTGGTAGAGAAGATGTAAAAGATTACACAAAATGAGCCAGGAAGCTCTAATGCTCAAGGAATCTTAAAGGCAGCAGAAAGAGGAAAAACAGAAATACTGCAAGCCCATCTTCTGAGATTCCATTAGTAGCTGGGATTAAAAAAACCTCTAAAACCATACACTCTAAAACCACACCATGCTTTTCCATGTTTCCTGACATTCTGGGGCAAATCAGAAAAGCACCACTCAATACTCATACAATTACTCTAGGTATAATATAAACAAGAAGAAAATGGTTTTAGACATCTTTATTATTTAATAAACACAAAAGCAGGAGTTATCACTCTGAACAACTTATTAAGAACCCAAGATGCCAGCTGCAAAGCCCAGAGCACAACAGCGGTACGCTAACAATGCTGATACACAAGTAGGATTAAAATGCTGACTTAATAGAAACAACAGATTTTGGAGAGTTTTCTCTGTGTGTGGTTTTTAGTTGGGTTCTTTGGTGGTTGTTTTTTTGTTTTGTTTTGCTTTCTTGTTCTTTAATTGTTACTATGGAGGGGAGGGGGATGAGTGAAGTCATTTCATGCTTCCCTAGAGACAGGGATTGAGACAATAATATTAGTAAGCTCTCAGTACCTCTGTCATTGTACTAGAAGTATTTAGTTTTACAAGTTAATTTGTGTTACACTTCACGACAAAACGACCAAGAACTGCAGCTGAGGAGATGCACCTTTTGTGGAAGGTACAAACCATATCAAACCTTAAGCAGACTAGAAGCCAGAAACGCACAGGTATTTTCAACTAAGATAAGTGCTGGCACAGATCTCAAGCCACAGATGTTAGCATTTATTTCTAAGACTCACAGATCTTCAGCTTATAACCTCCACATTACTCCTGTTAAGCACGCAATTTATGCCCAAAGATCTGTACCTATGACAACTACTCCATTTTGAAGTCACCATATGCATACACACACACTTCCACTTTTTTTTTTTAAGAAACATTTGTCACATTAAAACATTAAAAGTTCCTTTAAAGTTCCTTTAAACTTCAAAGTGCACAAGTGTTACTGCAGTTGCATAGTTTAACACATGCATCAGACTGTTTCCTAAAAATATCAGGTCATAAATTTAGCATTTCACTTGATAACCACAGAAGAAGCAAGACAAAGTAGTCTGATACTCATGGAAAAAGAAATAAAGATATTAAAGGCATCCAACAGACAGCCAAATTTCAGAAAGTCCAGTGAAAATGGCTCACTACATAAGAATGTATTTAAACAGCACCATCTGAACAATTATTTTTAGAATGTACTAAGGCTGTGATGCATTCCAGCATAATAAGAAGTCACAACTGCCATGAAGCAGTAGCCTCAGGGCTACGTTAAGACCACTCAACAATGTAAGCACTCTGGTGCATTTAATGAAAGATCGAGGCAGTAGTTAAAAACAGTGTTAGCACAGTAACTGATGGAAGAAATTAATCGGATTCGAGCACAAGTGTCTGCTTTACTCCAAATGCCAGAAGCAGAAAACAGAAAAATAGAAGGGCTTTTTACCTGCCGGAGGGTCCAGTTCACCCTCCTGCCAGCCCTTCTTCGACTCCAGAGTCAGAACAAAGCTTTCCTCTTTCCTAGTTAGAATGTTAAAGTGTCCTATTGTTCAAAATTAATTTCCTACAGTGAAAAGAACAAGAGTAGACAGACACGAATGTGTCGTACACTACTGCCAAACATAAGGTTTTTATTTGAGATCTCGCAAGACATTCAAGTTTGACTACAGAATCCCTGAGGGAAAAAAATTAAAGCATTCTGCTTTCTAACAACTTTTCCATCTTGAAGAGAAATCTATGTTTTTCCACTTCCAGCACTTCCAATATACCTTTTTTCTACAAAAGTAACATGAAACCTCAAAAGACCCAATACTTTTTATATAGCCGTGGACATTTGTCTTTTTATTTTAATAAAACTGAAGAGGTAGAAGCCTAATTAAATACCATTTCCATAAGAATCCTCATCAATATGCTTTGCAATCATTTAAATAGACTATGAGTAGAAAAAGCTTTACAAATATATCCATCTGAACCACAGCAGAACCCAGTTTCACAGATTCACATGGCATCTCCTATACAGAAATTAGCAAGATCTCATCACGTTATGAGACCTGCAAACTCCTCAAGTTGGATTTACCGATTTGATCTTCATCAGATAGCAAGATGCCAGGTTTAGGTTTTTATAAAACATCTTTATGACATCGTATCAAAAGGACCATGGGAAGCCAAACACATGCCCTAAAGAATCACACGTTAGAAGTAACGTTCTGCCTACGCTTCCATTGCTAGGGTGGCTCTGTATGATGGAAAAAGGAGTCATTTCTTTCCCAATCCCATTTTTGTCAGGAGATCCTGCTTAAGGAAGGCCAAGATCCAAACCCAGTCATCTTCCAGCAACATAAATGGCTCTCATAATCTTCTGCCGAAGGCTTGTGAAGCAGTATAAAGGTTACAAGGTGTCCTGAAGCAAGTTGGAGGGAATGAAGAAGGAAAGAATAGTCATAAGATGCACCAAAGTAATAATGCATGTAACATAGTTCCAAATGACTTCACTCAGCATGAAAGAGGACCTGAAAAACTCCTTAAATTTCATTGCTAGTTTTCAGGAGACATCATTTGCTAAAAATCAAAAATTTAAAATAAACTTCCTGTGTCAGCAATGGCATGGCTGGAGAAAGAAAAATCTGACTTCGGGCTACTGATGTTTTCAAGGAAGAGGCTGTTGCTCTGCAGAGCATGAAGCAAGGAAGGCAGAGTTTTCCCAAAGCTGATTTTACTGATATCCCTTATCTGGGCCTCAGGAATTGTCGATTGAGTCAGTTAGCAGCACATCCCCTTCCTTACTCAGAGCATCCCAGTCTGTTTCCTTCACAGAGACAAAGAAACAGCACTTGGACCCAACAGCCACAGACTCCTCTAAAGGAAGAGCATATTTACACATTCAAAAATGGGGAACATTGTCACCACTGGGAATCAAGCAGGATTTCAAATCCTTTTGGTGACCTCCACCCCACTGTGTATCCAAAGCTAACGCTGGTGTAAAGAGACAGGGAGGAGATGAAAGTTATGTGGCATGGGGTCATATACAATCACTGGCCTTATTTATGCCCTCGCCACCAATTTCTGCGACTTTGTCTCCTGTATAGAAAAGGGCCAGAAGAAGATCATTATCAGAGCCTTAAAGAACTCCTGTACAAATACAACCCCATGAACAGGAAAATTATTCAGAGGTGTAAAAACATTCTTTCCAAGTACCCAGGGAATTTTTTTTTCTCCTCTCTCTCTCCCACATCTTTTCTTTAAACTCCTCACTCTCTCTCCTCTCAGCAGCCTAGAGAAGTAGAAGACAACATCAACAAAAAAGCATAAAGAAACAGTATAAAGTTCATCCTCCACACCTGAATGGATGGCAGTTTAAAGGGGCCCTACCTACCTGCAACCCTGTTGTTTGCTTCAAGAACTCTGTTTGACCAAGGAAAAAGAGACGAGCAAATCCTGGAAGCAGATCCTTCCCCAAAGGAAGTTTCTTTCTGAGTCTGCAACCTGGAGCTTTTGCTTGAAACTCAGTCCTCTGAGTGGTTTCTTTCTTCAAACTTTCACACTGGTTCTTTACTTTTGTGGGCAGCTGGAAAAAGAATGAAGCCGTAGGCTGAGGCAGGGACTCCATACTTCCAGGATAGGGAGGCAGAAAGACTGGAGGGGAAGGAAAAGTGCTAGTTGGTAACTTCTTGAATAATGACCTGCATTCCCTCATTCTTGGCCACACAGAGACATACACAGAGTCACTGCAATAGGGAAGGATGACAAGAGATGAGGACTAGACATGCAATTTTTTCATGCTCTGATGCCAAAAAAAAACCCGCCCCAAAGCTTAACTATGAACTTTCAAGACTGTTAAGACATCTACCGATAGATGAGATCAATAAGATTTTTTTGTCCAGAAAGTTCTCTCCTTTGTTACGAAAAGACGTAAGGTGGGCAAAAAAATTTATGAGATTATTTCCTGGAAAATATCTCCAAATTTCTCCTCCGCTCTCAAGAAAATTAAAAATGGCATCTACTGCAGTGTGGTGAACACCTCCCCGTGATCGCAGGCAGAAGGCTCTTAAGAAACAATCATACTTACCTGGACATTTCCCTTATCAACGACTTCCTAACCCCACTTCCAGCTCCTCTGTAAAAGGCCTTATTCCAATCTCAACTTCTCTACTCAACATAGGTACCTCACAATAATGCTATAGAAGCTGAGAAACTACCCCAATTTCTTACAGAGTTTCTCAATTTGTAGGATATTCCCTTCTTCCTGAGAATCTAGCTGCCCTAAGAGTTATTCTATACAAAATATTAATGAATAAAAGCAGAAATTTTCCTCTTCACAAATCCTGAAAAGTGATAGACTCCAGTGAAATTTTATCAGTAGCATGGAGCAAAGGAGCAATAGAATAGTAGAGAAGTGGAAGTGGCAGGACTTAAAACAACAGCACGTATAGCTTTGTATTTGTTTACTCATTGCAATAAGCTTTCAAACAGCAGCAGTGTCTGGTATTTGTATACAGGGTAATTGTTGAGCTGCACATCTACTGTTTCATCTGAAGTGCTTGCAGGACACCAGGTAAAATGTGACCCAATAGTTAACAAAGAAGGTAATCTACCCACGTTTGATGCAATTTCAATTATCTTTCATCTTGGGGAAGGTTTACTGTGCTTTTTTTTCCTCCCTCTTCTCTCTTTCAGACTATATATCTAACCAAAACATTTTGTACAGTAAGATACCCAAAGTGCCCTTCAATTCTAAACACTCCCATCCTCAAAAAACAAGTCTTCGTTCTGCTACAAAAAGAAGTTGGAATAAAAGACAGGTTTTGTGATTCAAATCGCTTCAATAATATATTCTCAAAAAGGCATCTTTAGGCTTTTGCAGTTAGAGTAGTAAACAGGAATGCATCATGTGAGATGCTTTTAAAACGCTTACAGAATCTGATATCCCACACTAATTACAAAAAAAAAAAGAATCAGTAAATTAGTTCCAAATATACTACTTGGGCACAGAGAAAGATATTCTGCCTCTTGATTGCTCCAAGGACAAGAAGCATGGTGATATTATTTTAATTTAAGGCTAAAGTTTTTGCTTTAAATAGACTATTTCATATAAAAAAAAAAGTAGGATTAATTATCCTTTAGTAGAACTCCACGACATCTGCTTAGCTATTTCCATTTTAACATGAAACCATGTGTTCCTACATCTTTCAATTTGACAAGATACTGACTTTTCTATTAAGATCAGCTTTAAAAAGGTTAGAGAGTTGGATTCAGTCTTCTCATTCCACATGCATGTTTCTGTGACAGAGTTTGTCTGCAAAGAACAGTAACTGGCCAAAACATAAATGTAATTGGCCATTAGATGTCCCTAACATTATATTTATGCTTTTCTTCCAGAAAGGCAGGTGGTAAAGATAAAAACAAGAGAGAAAAATATAATGCACAGGATGTGCTCAAAGAAAGAATTTCTACTGCTATCTACTCTCTGACTGAAAAAACTATTACAACAGGACAATACAATTCTCCTCCCAGATGAAACAGTGAATAATAAGGTTCTTTCTTCTTAGGTTGCAAATACCTTGACTCAGTACCTTTTCAAATTGCTAACACTTACAACTTCCTTGCCAACTCACTTTGGCATTGTGCTTGCACATATGTAAGCATTACAGGCTTAATTTCAGATGATAGATGCCAAAGTTGGAAACGCTAGTAATGCTCTTAAGTCAAGATTCCTTTCCAGCTCTCAAAGCAACAGAAGATATCAGAGAGAACTCAAATGAAGTAGCATGATCCAGTTTTGCATAGGCTGCTTGAAACAGGAATCTGCCCATGTCCCAGTATGATCAAAAGGGTGCCTTTGAGGGATCCTCTATAATGAAAGATCTCATTCATTGGGAAAAGATGACTCCAGAAAACCTTTGGTATACAGCCTACTATGAAATCATGTACACAGGCTTCAGGGGTGCAGAGGAGATTACTTCATCTAATTCAATTCATGTAGTAGTTCAGTAGAGGATACAAAGATCCAAAGTAAAACTTAAGGAAAAAAGGCATCCATGAGAACATCATGCGCTGCTGTTTTCCTCATGAAAATAGATAAGCAGCAGAACAGTTTCTGGGAGATCATCCTGAATTGTGCTGTTAGGAATAACTTGTTTGTAAGCTCCTTCCTTGCATCAAGGTCATACTATTTCCTTTTTCCAAGAAGGGCCCACCCTTTATTTTCACTTTTTATCTTTTTGCATATTTTTCTTTCCACGTAGACTTGCACTGAATTCTAAAGATTGGTCATGTTTGTGTTGTAGCTTTGAAAAATACCAGCCTGATTTCTATACAAATACAAACATCAGGCCGAAACCACTACATCACTCTGCACTTTGAAGAGATAAATGCTAATAAATGCTCCTTTGTTCTTCTAAGATTTAGAAGAGCAGAACAAATCTAGAACAGATCATCCAAAAACACGTGAAGCCCCTGTTAGGGGAATTCTGGGAGAGGTTTTTTGCTGCCTCAGCAATCATAATTGATTCCTGCTACAGAAAGGGATGTTAGGCCAGCATAAGGAGCTGAACAGACACGGCTCTCCTCAATCTGTTGTTTACTGATCTACCTGAAGTGATGGGATCCTTCTTATTGGAAAAGGCAAAATTCTGGCTGAGATGACACAGGAACAACTTATGCAGATAATCTCCAGAAGATGAAGTCAGGAAAGGCCCTGATGTCCTCACTTGTGAGCATACAGAATGCAGTTACAATAAATGTTTCCATCTTCTCTGAGGGAAGAAAGGAATCTTTGCAGGATCTTTGCCTTTCCACAGTGACCTAATTGTTGATAGAGCCCAAGGTAACACTGGTTACCTATCAGGAAACACGGAATCCATACATTTGTTAAGTGGCACAGAGCAGGAGCAGCAATGCTTTTTTTGTTGTTGTTGTAACACTACAGCTTCAACAACTCCAAGATCTAAGTAAAAGAGCATGGAATCAAAAAGCAAACTGCCTTATCTTACTCAAGATACTTGCATCTCAATCAACTACTTCTCAGTCCTGAAACAAGATGTATACAAGTCTTATATTTATTATCGTGCAAATGTTTTAAATTTGAAGTGGTGCTGGTCACATGGAATACTTGCAGCTGCAAAAACAGAGCCTTTTTGGTTGAGGAGTCATCATTGCTCTGTTGCTATTCATTGGCTTGGTCCTATCTCTAAAAACATGCAGGCTGCAAATCCATTGCAAGATCAGTGCACCAACATCTGGCTGAACTGTTATACAAAATGAACATTACAACAACAAATTTTTAGCAAAGCACCTTTCTCTGGCAAATAGCACCAACATGACACGGATACTGAAATGTCAGCTTTACATCTCTGGTGTTATCCGTTTAAATTTCAAGCACGACACTAAGGAAAGCAAAAAAGACTGGTTTCCCAAAGCTTTCTGCTGAATTTCAGTTTGGGAGAATGGGAGGGGGAAACTGAGGGGACAGAAAGGAAGATGTCACTGAAAATTACAATTGCGTCAGGAAACATTGCTATCAGGAAAGAGAGAAGTCAGCAAAAACAATTCATCGAAGTGTTGAATTAGAAACAAAATGATCATGCAACCCATCATTAAAAGCTAAACCTGCTGGCAACTGGAATTACAGGAATCTTGACTTGCAAAATTTCAGAGTTTCTTTTATAGTATTTGGCTTTCTTCCAGAAAGACTTTGTGTTTAACTTCTTTAACAGCATACCACACACCACGAAGGGCCACAGTGCCGCCTAGGTTATCACCAAAGGGGTTCTGACCTATTTGAGATCCACACAGGTGACATTCACTGAAAGACCTTTCCTGTTTCCATTTTAAGAGCAGTAATAAGCTGTGGCTTCTCCAAATTCAGCATGACAGAACTCGAAAATTGCATACAGCTGTCAAAACACCACACATTTGAGAAATGCCCTCTGCATTTCTTCCAGCACATATAAGAGCAGGAAAACCTAATGATTGGTTGATTTCAGAAAAATAGTACTTGGTAAAAATCATTTCCTTTAACAAATGCATCAATTTTGCAAAATTAAAATGAGCATAATATAAATATTTCCATTAAAAAAAAATTCTTTACATTGCAAGAATAAGAAAGCTAACTATAGTGATACAAGTTACAGTAATCTAGGTACTACATAACTCCAATTTATTTGAAGAAATGATACAAAATATTTCTTAATATTATCTTTGTGTTTTCCTTTTCAGCACTAAAGACATGGCTTAGTTGATTTGTTTCAATTTAAATGCTACAAACTTATATAAATATGCTGCACAATTATTTTAGAGCATTCTTTTCCTTAGTTTTCAGTCTTGATGTAACTCCTGGGCTGGGTGAAAGACCAGCCAGAAAAGCATTCCTGTGAAACTGAAATACTACATGCAATCAATGTGAAGAGGAAAGATCCCAATACTGTTCAATAGCCACACCAGACTGAACACTGGTGCTGGTTTTGGACTGATTATTTGCTGGTTTGGGTTTTTACTTTTCCCCAAACTGAATTTTCAGGTGAAAATGGCTCAAAGCTTTTCCTGTACATTTTGACCCTTGCTCTTCTT